GTGTTAATAGGAACCATCAATATCTCAGTGTTTAATTTATTGACCCAAAATAGCACTGGCTCATTCACCCTTCAGAAATCAGGCTTCCTGTAAAAATGTAACTACTACTCAAACTGTATCTCACTAATTTGATAAGAATAGAGTTAAATGAAATGCTCTGAATGCCTAAGATGAAAGGCATTAAATGAAATGTAATAAAAGTTTACAATATTTAATTGAAATGCAATTTGTATATTATTTTAGAGAGAGGGTATCTGGCCTACACATTTGTAATAGCTTGCTCATTCTTTTATCAAAGAATTATTGAATATCCTCAGGGCATATGAATTTTTAAACAAAATTTATGAATCACATTTCCTTACTAATCTCTGAAAACATATGGAAAAGCAAATTCTGGTACAATGTTTTTAAAGTATTACTCTATAAACCAGGAACTTTGCAAACTGATAAAAAAAAAATTGTTTCTCATTTTAATTATCTACATGCATGTGAGTACATCATTAATTGCACCATCCAGATAGCAAATGAAAGTGCCTTTTGATCAAAACTGACCTACTCAAAATTCTACCTCCATGACGGGCAGAGATTCACAACGGCCAATTTTTAAAAAGGTGAATTAAAGTGACTTTGCCTTCCATTTAAATTTTTTAATGTTCTTTCTATACATCATGTTATTGACCCACCACAAACAGAATATAGGTTTTTAGTTTTTCTCAATGTCAGTGATAGGTATGTAATTATCCATACTTTCCTCCAACCAATGACACAAATTTGTGAAATAGCTGACGAGAATGAAGAGTAAGATGCTTGGTCTAGATAGAGTGAGAAAAAATACTCCTATGAAATTAAATTGGTAACCTGTCTTACTAACAAGTGAGCTTAACCATCACAATGGCCACCTTTTGATAATAACTGAGAGTGACATTTACTAAGATTCTAGACCTCTGATAGCTCTTCCTGAGATAAAAATTTCCCAGCATTTGAAAAATTAAACTTTGGAGTATAACATACATTGCCTACCTAATATACAGGAAGGTTAGTAAATCTTATCAGAAGTTTGTTTAGTTTTTTAATTGTACTTTGAAAGGAACATAAAAACCTCTGAACAAATGCAGTGAAAATATTTCCACAATAAATTACTTTTTATTCATTTCAAACCAAAACATATTTGAGTGCCTATCATATACAGCTAGCAGCATATTTAAGCTTACTGAGGTCAAAGACTGATTTTTGTCTGTGTCCTCAGCGCACAGTATCAGGCCTGATACAGAGTAGTGCTTAATAAATACTTGGATAAACTGATTTGGGAGAATACCAAAAAGGTATATGGTCTCTGCCCTAAAGGACTTTTCAATCTTGTTATTAAATTAAAATCACCTTTTTAGATTTTAAAAAAGCAGACTTTTAAAAACAGGTTTTTAAGAATATAAAAAAAAATTTTCCTCAAAGTACTTAACTGAGCGCTAGATATTTCTATACAATGAAACAAATTTTGAAAGAATAAAAAAAAAGAGGATTTTAGCTGTCAAAGAGACCTTTAGAGCTCATCCAGTCAAACCCTTTCATTTTATGGATTAGGAAAACTGAGACCCAGAAAGGAGAACTGCCTCTGTAAGCTTCATTTACCTGGTTCAGTAAATAAAGGATCTTGGTCAAAATATGTAGACATCGTCTTGGATTGATAGGAGTCTCATTGAAGATACGAGCCTATGGGAGCACAATAAATACATTGTATCTTTTCCTTCTCAATCACAAATCCCAATAAATTGTCAACAAAATAAAGAATGTTGTTAAACTCTTCTATCATAAAGTCCAAGTAATATTAGTTAAATGAAACATTAATTATATTAGAAAAATGAACTAGGAAACATGTTTCGATATTATACTTTTGCACTCTTTCCCTTTGGTTTAATCTCTGAGTTTCATTTTCAAAATAAGAATCATAATATTAAGGCACCTCAAAAAACTGGTGTGAAATTTAACATTTATAACTTCCATCAGCAGCTTTATGCAAAGTACCTGTTTGACATCTTTTATACCAAATTTTTCACTGCATCATAGCACATTTATCTTCTTCTAATATCCTATGACAAAAACCACCATTGTTCCTTTTTCCTTTAGGTTACATTATTTTATCTCATTCATTATACACCTTAATTCAACTCTAGCAAAACATTTTTCAGTCATGATAGCTAAAACATGAACTCTGAAAGAATGTCTCCTAGAGATGTTCTGATCCCCCTCTGGGGAAAACAAACACAAAAGACAATATCCTTCTAAGTCATACCTCCTGCAAAACAGCACTCTTCTCCAAATGCTGAAAAGGATTAGAGCCACTACCTAAAAAAGAAAACAAAAATAGCACGGCTAACTACCACAGGAAAATTCATTTACCAACAATTAAGCGACACTGGAAACAAAAGGAAAAAAATACGGAGACAAATTCAGGAAAACCTTTTTAAGAGCTTGAGCATCTGGATACCAAAATGGCAGGCATTACAAGTTGCTTGTAGATGAAATGAAGTGACCTTGGTTCTATTTCTAGCTCTGCTGACACAACTCCTGATTTTGGAACACTCACCAATAATCTGACTGAAGTAGGAATTATATTATGGTGTAAAGGATGGAATGCTGGGCTTTGAAATAGGAACACAAAAGTTCAAATCTTGGTTGGGATTCTTACTTGCTGTGTGAGCCTGGGCAAGTCACTTGACCTCTCTGTGCCTCAGTTTCTGCTTCTGCAAAAAGTGTGTTCAGAAGAAGAGGTTGAACTTGATGACCTCTAATATCCCTTCCATTTTTAAATCTATGCCCCAATAGTCCTAGAGGCAGGTGGAAGGGGGCTGAAAGCCCAAGCTACAAAACCAGTGTCCTGGAACAAATTCTTCTGAGATTTTCTGGCACAAAACCGAGAACAAATACGCTGACATTATTAGGGGTGGACTGAAGAGAAAACACTTCCTAACAATTTAAGGTATCCAAAAGTAGAAAGCGTGAGATCAGTAAGCTTCCTGTTACTATTCATATTTCATTTCCTCATCTGTAAAATGAAGGAGCTGGCACGAGGTAGTTTCTGCTCTAAATCTACGGTCCTATGATAAGGTCAATGAGACTCACGAGTTAGAGTAGATGAGCTTCAAGATCCCTTCCAATTCTATGAGGCTTTGTGATAAGCATTAATCAAATTGTTAGGGCACTTTTAGTTCTTTAGATAAGTTCTTATTTCAATAACTTTGTAACAGAGAAGCAAAACTGAGGGGGGAAACCCCACTGACTGTTAAGAAGTACTAGTGAATTTTCAATCGTCTTGGCACCGCCTCCATTTCGGCTAAGATCCAGGCCTAAATTCTTCCGGACCTCCGAGAGCCTCAGGCCTGAATATCAGCCTCCTAGGTCAAAGGCGTTCCGTCCTTCCTACAGGTGGCAGGGTTTAGGGAATCGCACTCTCCCCTTTAAAAAGCACCTCAGCTGGGGACAGAAGCGAAGCATTTCGGCGCTGGAAGGGCCTCGGGCTCCCAGCCTAAAACCAAAGAACCTTCCACGTCCAACTTTCATTTGAAGACGTCCTCTAAGAGGGAAATGCATAGTATCCAGGGCCGGCCCTGACTGGGGGCAACTCCTTTCCACTGACGCTGAAGTACAGCTGACAATCGACACATTTTGGGTCTGGGGGCAAGCAGGGCAAATCTAATCCGTCTTCCACTAGAGGGCCCTTTAAATAAGACCGCGATCTCATCCTTCCTTCCTAAACCTTCGATTTTCCCACCCTCAACCTCCCCCGCACCCCAAAGCCCGGCTGGGCTGGGCGGCCCACGAGGAGGTAGGAAGCCCGGCGTGTACCAGCTCTCGCTTCCCCCTGGGAATATGAACGAAAGAGCAACGGCCCTAGGTATCAGAGGTCCGGAGGGTCCTCCCGCTTCTCACCCCCGCCCCCCCAGACCCCCCACACCGCGCTCGGCTCGCCCTCTGTGGGACCCCCCCTTCGCCCCCTCCCCTGCTCACTTCGACCGCCTCCAGCCATGGCCCCGCCTCCTCTCCGCCACCAACCCCCGGGGCCGGAGGGGAAGGGCTGCGAGGGGCAGCGCAGCGGGAGCATGCGCCCGAGGGCCGGCCAGGGGAGGGCTCGCGCGCGCCGGAGCCGAGGGGCGGGGCGAGTGGTGCGGGGCAGCCCAGGCGGGGAGCGTGCGGCCGGAGAGGGAGGGGGGTAGGGGGAAGGGAGGGTCTCGAGTTGGGGGAGGGGCCACGCGAAGGGCTCGCACTGGTGGAGGAGGAGGGACTCCAGCTCCGAGCAGCTCTCAGCCCCGCCCGGTCCTCCCACCTTCCCTCCGTCCGGCTCTCAGGAGGAAGAGGACGCACCGCCCCCTCCCCTCCGCCCCTGCACTACGAGGAGGAAGGGTTGGGAAAGCGGGGATCGGAGGCGTTCCCCAGGTCCCTGCGTGTACCAGACTCTTCGTCCTTCTTGTCGAATTTTTTAATCATCTCCCGCGACAACTGATCTCTAGGCCAACCGAAACCGTCCGAGCCGACACCACCGAGAGGAACAGGCTCCACCGGAAGCCCGGCCCCCATCCCTCAAACTTGCTGGGCAGTTCACCCGTCACTCTAGTGGAAACCCCGCCCCTTTCCTCTGCTGCGCCTTAAGTCTCCTCCCCCCCGCCCCTTTTTGCCTCGCAGTCACGCCTTCCCTTCTGTGCTAACACTCCTTTCCCATCCGTACACACGTATGCGCTCTCTGCACGCACACACACACACAGACACACACACATATATATATATATATATATATAAAGCAAAAATGGGCCAAGTCTGTACTAACAGTTCATAATTCCAGAGCCGGGAGCTTGGCCCGCAGAATTTCTGCGTGACAGACACACGAGTTCCTTTGCAGCCTTCTCCGGCATGGGGCTGGCTCGCCTAAGTCACAAGGAGGCCCAGAGCGCGGCTGGCCGCACGCCGGAGGACCGTGGCAGTGGGTGCCCTCGCTGGGAGCTTTGCGTGGCTCAGTCAGGAACTGTGGTCCTGTCTGTGAACCACTGCGTGGCCCTCCCGTAGCGGAAGGGGCTGTCTCCTGGCAAGGGCACCGTCAGCGTGGGCTTCTCTTCCAGGAGGGTAGCGAGGGTCAACGGCTCCCAGGTTACCGTGGAAACCTTCCGTCCGGTCGCCTGGTCCCTGGCCGCTGCAACCAAGCAGAGAGAGCTGTAAGAAGGGGCCTCCAGGGGTGATACACCCTGACCGTATTACTGAGGAGAAGGACGCAAAAAACCCACCTGAAGGTCTTGAACCTCCAGGAAGCCAGGCTTATATGTTGCTATCATCATCCATCACCCAGTCAATAAGCATTTATTAACCCTGGCTTCCTTTAAGTCTACTCAAATCCCACCTCCTACCAGAAGCCTTCCCCAGCCCTCTTGATTCTAAGTGCCTTCTCTCTCTTATTTCCTATTTATCCTGTGTATAGTTTGCTGTGTATATATTTGTTTGCATGTTGCCCCCTCCATTTGATTGTAAACTCCTGAGGGCAGGGACTATTCTTTTGCCTTCTTTGGTATCTCCATAGGCACCCTGCTTTGCCCATAGTAGGCACTTAATATTTATTGAATCGAATTGAAAATTAATCTTTTTTTTTTTTTTTGGTTAGGCAATAGGGTTAAGTGACTTGCCGAGGGTCACACAGCTAGTAAGTGTTATGTGTGAGAGGTCAGATTTGAACTCAGGTACTCCTGAATCCAGGGCCGGTGCTCTATCCACTGCGCCATCTAGCTGCCCCCAAAATTAATCTCTTACTATGTGCCAGGCACTATATTGGGAGGAAGGAGGCCCTCTGTATTCCCAAGTTATGAGGCTCATTCCTACCACCTGTCTTTTCCATGATTAGTCAACTAGTCAATATCAGTGTGCATTCTTAAGATCATATTATCCTCCTCTGTTTCTTTGTATCTTCTACTATTCTGCCCTTAGTCAAAAAACATTAAGAGTCTACTATGTGACAGGCATTCTGTACATGTGTATCTCCAGACATGTGCTGGGGTTACAAAGAAAAGCAAAAAGCAGTCCCTGACCTCAAGGAGCTTCCTGTCTAATGTGGGAGACCACAAGCAAACAACTAAGTACATATAAGACATAGACAAGATAAATTGTTTGGCAGAGAAAGCACTAAGATAAAGGAGACCTGGAAAATGCTTCTTGCAGAAGGTGGGACTTTAGCTGAAATTTAAAGGAAGGCAGCTAGTAGAAGGCAGAGTTAAGGAAATTGTTTTAGGCATGGAGGACAGCCAAGCTTTGAACCCACTTGGAATGTCCTTCTTGCCTCCTCTGCCTATCTATACCTCTCCACTTAGAACCACAGTCTCGTTCATTCATACACGTTTTTATTTTCCATAAATAAACACAATAACAACAAGAATACTAAGAATAAAGGGCTATGGCGATACAGAGATTAGAGAGCTAGTCTCCTAGACAGAAAATTCCAGTTTCAAGGCCCACCTCTAACCAATACTGCATATGTGACCCTGAACAAGTATCAACCTCTCAATACCCTCCACAAGCCTCTAGTTCCAGAGAAGGTACTAGTCTGTATTGGTAGAGGGATTTCCTATGTTGAAATCACAGACCCAGAATCTTTGGTTGTGGGTTTGGGTCGCACCCGAGTCGCCAAAGGGGAGAAATTTGTGTTATTAAAATTTGATATGCTACTTTATTTCTTTTTTTAAATGGTAATTATTTATTTATTTGTTTGTTTTCAACATTTCCACAAGATTTTGAGTTCCAAATTTTCACCTCATCTCCCCCTCCCCCCACCCCAAGATTGTCATGCATTCTAAATACCCCTTCCCCTAGTCTGTCTTCCCTTCGATCTCTCCCCCCCTCTCTTATCCCCTTCCCCTTCAATTTTCCGGTAGGGCAGGATGGATTTCTGTACCCCATTTCCTGTATTTCTTATTTCCCAGTTGCATGTGAAAACATTTTTTTAAACATGTGTTTTTAAAACTTTGGGTTCCCAATTTTCTCCCTTCCTCCCTCCCCACCCACCCTCATTGATAAGGCAAGCAACTAAATATAGGTTATATATGCGCAGTTATGCAAAACACTTCCATAGTAGACATGCTGTGAAAAACTAACTCTATTTCCCTTAATCCTATCTGCCCACCCATTTGTTCTTTCTTTTGACCCTGTCCCTCCTCAGAAGTATTTGCTTCTGATTACTCCCTTTCCCAATCTGCCCTCCTCTCTTTCATTCCCCTACTCTCTTGTCCCCTTCCCCCCTCTATTTTCCTGTAGAGTAAGACAGATTTCCACACCCAATTGAGTGTGTATGTTATTCCCTCCTTAAGTCAAATCCTATGAGAATAAGATTCACTCATTCCCTCTCACCTTCCCCATTTCCCCTCCACTGTAAGAGCCTTTTCTTTTCTGTTGGGTTTTTTTTTTTGTGGGATAATTTACTCCTTTCTACCTTTCCCTTTCTCCTTCTCCTAGTATATTCCTCTCTCACCCCTTAATTTTATTCTCCAGATATGACCCCTTCATTTTCAACTCACCCTGTGCCCTCTCTCTATCTATCTATATCTACATACATATAATTTTTCCCCCTCCAACTACCCTAATACTAACAAAGGTCTCATGAGTTACAAATATCATCTTTCCATGCAGGAATGTAAACAGTTCAACTTTATTAAGTCTCTTATGATTTTCTCTTTCCTATTTACCTCTTCATGTTCCACTTCCTTGTATTTGAAAATCAAATTTTCTATTCAACTCTGGTCTTTTCATCAAGAATACTTGAAAGTCCTCTATTTCACTGAATGACCATTTTTCTCCTGCAGGATTATACTCAGTTTTGCTGGGTAGGTGAAGAACCACAGTCTCTTAAGAATCAGAAAGGATTTACTAGTCCTACCCCTACCTGAAACAGAATCTCCTCCACAACATGCCCAAAGAGCCATCATCTACCTTTTGTTTGAAGGCTTCTAGTAAGGGGGAAAGCTCTCTTTCCACTTTTGGACAGTTTTAATTGTTAATTTAATTTGTGAAGGAAGATTTTCCTTCCACCATGTGTATATCTGCTTTCTATAACTTCAACTCAAGTTCAGCTCCCTGAGGTCACACAGAACTAGATGAATCCCCTCTACGACAGCTACTGATTGTTGTGTGATTAAGTCATTCCTTATTCTTCAGTGAGCAAAGGGGGAAATCTCAAAGATTTATTTAGTTTGCCATTGGAATCTGGAGACCTAGGGATTAAAGGAGATTTAGAGATGGAAGGATTATAGGATCATAGATTTAGAGTTTGGAAAGGACCTTACAATTCAAGAAGTCCAACCTTCTTATTTTACAGATATGGAAACTGAGGCACAAATAGGTTAAGTCACTTGCCTGGGGTCACACAGCTAGTAAATTTCTGAGCTGAGATTTGAACTCAGGACTTTCTGACTCCAAGTTCAATGCCATATCAACTTCTTACTGTTACAAGGGCCCTCAGAGGTCATCTAGGCCGGGGTTAACTGGCCCAAGGTCATACAGGTAGTAATCATCAGAGTTGGGATTTGAACCAGATCCTCCCCTGCCTTGATCCCCAAGGGGTATGAACAAGTGACAGGCAGCTTCACTCTGGACATTCATCAAACCTCTTTTTACCAGTTCTCCAAACAAGTTCTAGTGTCTACTCACATCCAGTCCCAAAAGCAATGGTTTAATAAAGAGGGAGGTGGGCTTCGCCATTTTTCTTCTTACCTGACCTAAAATCTGGAACAAAGGAAAGTTCAGGATACTCTTCCTGTTGCTTCTTTAGGGCATGGAACTTTGAAAACTTGGCTTCACTCTTGAAATCAGCCTTGGTGGAAAACCTTAACAGGGAAAATTCATTTAGTGGAGTCAGAGCCAAGATTCATGGTAGAAGGGATCTACCAGTTAAAAGTTAATTGCATTGTCTGAGTTGAGAGAAAAGAGGATGTTCTAGATGAGAGGAGTAAGGTAAGGGTGTGGTAATAGCTGTTACTAGGAGCTCTATGATGCATCCAGGAACTGGCACTATAGGACTTATGAGCACATAAAGGAAGGTGGAAAGAAAGGAGGGAATATAGGGAGGAAGAAAAGAGGGAAAGAAGGGAGGAAGGAGAAAAAGAAGGGAAGAAGGGTTGGAAGAAAGTAGCAAGCATTTATTATGTTCCAGGCACTGTGCTAAGTGCTTTATAAATCTTATTAGATCCTCACAACAATCCTGGAAGGTAGGTACTATTATTATCCCTATTTTTCAGTTGAGGCAAACAAAGGTGACGTGACTCGTCTAGGGTCACAAAGCTAGTAAATGTCTGAGGCTGGATCTGAACCCAGGTCTTTCTGACTGCAGGCCCAGCACTCTCCACTACTGTGCTATGATGTAGCAATTCCAGAATCACTCTTCTTCCCAGTTGGCCTCTATACTAGACTCCAAATCCAATACAATGCTCAAACACATGAATAAGGGAGATACAGAGGGTCGCCTCCGCCCCCCAGAGAGGTAGAAGGGAAATTGACTTAGGGAAAGTGCTGGGGCTTCACCTGTACCACTGCTCCCACTTAGGTTTAGCATCCTCCAATATTATTACAGGAAAAGGAGTCCTGGCTTCAGTCTTTAATTTCTTCTTCATCACAGGGAGACCAGTGTGACTTGTAATTTTCCTTTGCTCCTGCGGCTGAGGAAGGGAAAATGATAGTATGTGACAAGGCAAGATGGGCACTTTGGGCTTTTAAAGTTGTGGAACTGGAACATGGATTGAGTTCCAGTTCCACACAAAGGAGTTGACAGAAAGTTAACACCTGAAAAAGTGTGATTTCAGCATCCAACCAAAGTAGGGCTGTTCCCAAAAGGACTGGCAAAACCTCAGCTTACAGAACCTCAGAGTTGGAAGGGGCATCGGAATCCACCAAGTCTAACTCATACTTCAATAAGAACCCCTTTAAATCATACCCAACCAGTGGTCATCCAAACCAGTGGTTGTCCAACCTTTGCTTGAAGACTTCTCATAAGGGAGAAAAACCAACCACCTACTTCCAGAGGCAGCCCTTTCTACTTATGACTAGCTCTAATTGCCAGAAATTTTTCCTTAAGTCAAGACTAAATCTACCTCTACAACTCCCATCCATTGCTGCTATTTCTGCCATCTGAGGCCAAGTGAAAAAAATCCAACCCCTCTTCTGTGTAACAGTCCTTTGAATACTTGGTGACAATCATGGCAGCCCACAGCAAGTTTTTTTTGACACTAAACATCTCTAGTTCCTTCAACCAATCCTCATGTAGTACGACCTAAAGACCTTTCCTAATCCATGTTACTTTCTTCTGGATGCTTTGCAGCTTATCAAGGCCCATTTTAAAATGTGGTTCCCAGAATTGACCATGATAATCCTGAGATGATTTGTTTAGGGCAAACTACAACAGGACTTTTAACTCCTTAGCTCTGGACACCATTCCTCTATTAATATGACCCAAGGTTATGTTAAGGTTTGAGGGTCTTTTTGCTCTTGTAACATACTTAACTTGCAATAAACTTGCAATCCACTAAATTCCCTGAGTCAGAGGTCTTTACCTTTTTTGGGGGCCAAGGACTCCTTTGGTAATCTGGTGAAGCTTGTGGACCCCTTTTCAGAATTGAATTTTTAAACAAATAAAATAAAATGCATGGGATTAGAAAAGATGCTAATTATATTGAAGTACAGGTAACCAAATAGATATTTTAAAAAAGTTAATGGACCCCAAATTAAGAATTCCTTACCCCTTAAACTTTTTCAGATAAACTATGTCTAGTATGTTGTATTTTTGATATTGAGTTTTTAACAAGCATAAGATATAACATTTATCACTATAAAATTGAATCTTATTTGATCCAACTCAACGTTCTGGCTTGTCTATATATATATGTATATATATATATAATATATATATACATATATATATATTTTAAATTGATTGTCATCCAACGTATTATCTATCCTGCTTAGCTTTGTGTCATCTGTAAATTTGATAAACATGCCTTTAGCCAAGTCATGGCTAAATAAATTTTTAATGGTACAGGACCAAGAAGATTCCCTAGGGCAATCCTCTAAAAACCTCTTTTTCAGGTAACCTTGATTCATTTATGAAAGCTTTTTAGGTCAGGTCATTCAAGCAGTTCCAAATTCACCTGCTTTATTGACCACACATCCCTCCATCTTCTCCATAAGAACAACGTGATGAATTTTGTTCAATATTTTAGAAATTCTAGGTAAACTATATTTAGTTTACATTTAGTTTGTTCTCTTGATGTTACCAATCTAGTAACACTGTCCAAAAAAAATAAGCCCAGTCTCATACAGCGTGTTGTTGATAATATCATGCTAGCCAGAACTCTGAGATCACCATTTCCTTTTCTAGATGTTCATGAAATCCTTTTAATAACACACTCTAGAATTTTGTTGGGAACCAGAGTAAACAAAACTCACTGATCTCTAATTCTCAGACTCTCTTCCCTTTTTTTATTTTATTATATTTTTTATTTATTTATTTTTTCTCTTTTACCTTTTTTGAAAATGAGGACATTTGCTCTTTTGGACTGCTGTTACCTTTCAAAGACCACTGACCTATCTTTTTCTGTTGCCCAATGCCCAAAGCCTTACTGGACTATTCAGTAACTGACTGAGCCTCCCATAGACTCTCTGAGATGAGTATATCTGACTGTTTTTTAGAGTAGTACTCAGGTGGTTATTTACCCTAAGAAAGAGAAAAATTTGGTAGAAATAGTAGGAGGTATATTCCTAGCACTTAGCACAGTGCCTGGCATATAGTAGGTGTTTAATACATATTGATATCTCATAGGTTGTTCCACCTAGCATGTTAATACTGCCATCCTGTGGTAGGGACAAACAGAAGGGAAGCTGGTGGTGTCTGTTTAAATTGTGGGATCCCAAACATTGCAGACGTGCCCCTCTTGCCCTTCATGGATTGTAAACGAAGGCTCTCCAATATGATCAGGGATTGTTCTCTACGGAGCCCCTGCACTCCCTTGTGATCGGGGGAGTGAGCAGTATCAACACCCGTGCTAGCCATTGCTTTGGCTCAGAGAAGTCATTTCTGTCTCAGCTTTGGGAAAGAGGACTGGAAATGACCATTGAAAATATAACAGTATAACAATTCCAGAGGACTCATGATGACAAATGCCATCCATCACCAAAGAGAGAACTGATGAACTCTGAGTGCAGATTAAAGCATACTTTCTTCACTTACTTTTTATTTATTGCTTCTCCTTCTTCTTCTTCTTCTTCTTCTTCTTCTTCTTCTTCTTCTTCTTCTTCTTCTTCTTCTTCTTCTTCTTCTT